AATTATTTTGGAGGGTTATTTTTAAAAACATATTAGATTAGGATAAAAACTTCCGTTTGTGTTTATTATATTACATTTTTACGAAATCGATTTGAGTTTGATTATTATTTTTGGATACTTTTTTTCGTTCACAATGTAATTAATTTCTTCGGAGTTCTATGGGTCGGAGTTGACCAGCGACATTTGACCACTTCTACTACAACGGTTGCATTCAACCTTGACAAGTGGGTCTAGACTTGGTGACAATGTAATGTGAATTAAAATTGTTAAAATTTGATTAATTAATGAAGGCGATCGAGTTGACTAGAATCCATCATATTGTTGACATGGATTAAAACATGTTTTTCTTTTAGATTTTGCAATCAAAGCGACCGTAAAAATAATAAAAAATAAAAACTTAAGCCTAAACTTAATTCAGAAAATTTAATATTTCTAGAATCAATGCTAATCCAGAGAACTTGAATTTTTTTAGTTTAAGGGCTACATTTCTGTTTATTTTTATCAAGCTTAGCATATAACCCGGTGTTTCACTTTCGTAAGACAAATATTGATTGCACAGGAGCTCTGACAGCCCCACATTATAGTTTTTTTTTGTTTACAAAACTTTGCAGATAAAATTTTTAAATAACAATGCAAATTTAAACCATGTGACGTAGTTTTCACTTTTTTGTCGCTTACAATTGGGCTTGTAAGTTTATCGTTCTTTCTCGCGTTAATTCCTGTCAGGTTAGCCAGGGAGAGATAAAATTTTTGGAACTAAATCAATTGTTGTGAACGGGGTTTCCCATTGATAACAAAAAACATGGCGGCTATTTGTAAGTAGGCCCCGCTTCAAGATTTTAAAATCATCAAACGTTCCAGAAATGCAACAATTGTAAAAAATTTCAACCCTGTTTTGTTCATATGGATGGGAACAAACACATGTGTATGCATTTCTGAATATAAAATTTTTGTGGCGGTAAGTATATTGATTTTATTTCTTTTGTTGATAGTTTGTCCAAGGCTAGGGGACATTACTCTGACTACTCAGTCTTTGCTACGAGACTAGATCTAGATTCTAGATCTAGAATCTACTAAGATCAAGATATCTAGTCTAGATCTAGAAATATTCTACATTGCTTCAATCTAGTTCTAAAAGTATAAGTTGATGAATTAGAATGTATTAGATCTAGATCTAGTATTTTAGTGATCTAGATAAAATATTAGGAAAATGATGACTCTCAGTCTCATCATTAAGTCATGATTAAAAAAAAATAAGACATAAGTTGATTATCATTAACTTATTAAGCCTAGGCCTAGAAGTTTACAACTTAATCAAATCTAGATCTATAATTCTAAATCTAGATCTAGAATCTATCTACCATCTATCTACAATCTACAAGCTACTTCTTAAATATTAAATAGTAATCAGTACTAATCTAGATATTCTAGATCTAGGAGTCTAGTAATCTAGCTAGGTCTATTAACATTGTTGTCAAAGTCTAGACTCTAGAGTCTAGTTACTCTAGATCTAGCTACTTAGGTTTAGTAAGAGTTAATGTAACTGTAAGGCTAACATATTTTTAATAGTCTAGATTTTTTTTTAGATCTAGACTAGAATCTAGATCTACTCTAGACTTCTAGATCCATAGCTATTTGATCATTAGTCAGTAGAGTACTGTAGACTACTGTAGACCTGTGTTTCTTCCAGATTTTTTTCTCTGGGGGGGGGGGGCACTTGAAATTTTCGGGGGGGGGGGGGGGGTAGACTTTCTTCGGGGGGCGGACACTGTTAAAAGTATATATTTTCTATATATAAATTATATAAATTTCGTATGGGGGGGGGGGGGGGGTGTGATAGAATTTTTTCAGCTGGGCTTTGCCCCCCCCCCCCCCCGAAGAGATGCATGGAAGAAACTCTGCTGTAGAGTGTAGGTACTAATAACTAGACTTCAACTAGATTAGACTAGCATCTAGAGATCTAGAATCTAGATACATTTTAAATTTAGGGCTTACAGACTACAGTGTTGCAATTGGTAGATCTAGAAATCTAGATTAAATATTAAATTTAGTTTGAAATTTGAAATTGTTACAGTAGTGTTACTACTTTTTAAAGTAGTAAGTAGTGTACTAGAAGAGCAAGATGATAGATCTTCATCAAGCTACAATAGAGTTTAGTTAGTAGTTAGTTAGCCGTATTAATAGTACCAAAAGCAGTGTAAGTAGCACAATTTAAAAAAAGTATTACTAGGCCAACTACTATTGTATTAGGCCCTTTTATTTTTAGCAAGTAAAATTTAGTTGTTAACTTTTAGCAGCAATAGATAGGTTAAAAAGAAGATGGTATTTTAGTTGATCTACTACTAGTAGAAGTTGTTCTAGATGTAGCTTCTTATTCTAGATCAACTAGAATAATTTAGGCACATTTAAATTTTTTTAGATTTTTTACGAGTTGACCAAAACTATATCTAAGATTTTAAGAAGTAGATTTTCAGTTTGGTTAAGTACTAGTCTTCTAGCAAGTTGCCTAGTAGTAAACTTAGAAACTAGATCATGTGTATTAGTACTTTTTAGACTTGTACTTGTAGGCTAGTCTTGGTAGTCTAGAACAGGGACTATAAATTCTATAATTGATAACTTTTGGCCTTTTAGTATAAGCCATATTATTAATGAATTACGTGGTACAAAAATTAATAAATATATGCATAAACTTAATAATTTATAATATTCAAATTCTCTAGGTACTTGGCAAGCAATTTTCTCACACTTGACTGTGGCTATATGTGCTGATCTTGAGCTTAAGGTGAGCTGAATTTTTTTATAATAAACCATTTTTCAGCTTAAGCCCAAGCTTGAAACCGATTCAGTGTTCTAATTCTTAAAAAATATGTTGCTACTAAGAATATTTACTGTAAGTATTAATTATGTAACTATTAACTATTGATTTAATTTATGTAACAGTGCTTGATATGGCCCAATAGTGGGACTTTCAGACAGTAGCTTTCACATTTCTAACCCAATAGACTAGAGTTCAGATCCCTGGCTTTAGTCCTAGTATGATGTCCTAAGTCCACCCAGCTCTCATGAGTACCTGGCTCAAGATAGGGAAATTAAAGGTGGCTGGGTATATACCTGAACACTCTGTTACATGCAAATGCCACAGAAACAGGTGAATTTTAATTCAACTTCAACTGCTATATTTGACTGTCTTTTTTAATCAATGATTAATTTTTTCATAATTCTGAAAGATGTTTAAAGTATTATTTATTTAATTTCTAGGTAAATGGAACAGCATGGATGTGGAATTTTAGACACAAGGAAGCTGAAATTAACTTTTAATTAAGCATTACAGATTGTCCATGAAAACAAATATAAATTATATACATTATAATGTTGTATTGATGCATCTTCTGTTTTAAGTAATTAAAAAACATCCATTTATGAAATTATTTTCATTTTTTTTTCAATTTTAAAACTGTATTTCTGTTTTGTTATTTGAATTGAATGATGAGTATACTGAACTGCCATTGAGATATTTACTTAAATGCTATTGTTTATAGTTTAATTCTTTTAGAAGCAACTATATTGACATCAAAACTGAATCTTCATTGTACATTAAGTATAAAAGCTTTCCCACAAACCAGTCCATGTCCTTATGTTTTATTGACATCCAAACATTACATTTTTTTAAAGGTGATTATTCTTAAATAAAACAGACTACATTAATTAGGGATAGGAAACATTTAATCTTTTAAGACACAACATGTTATTGTACTATAATTTGTGACATGTAAACTTACAATATACAACTGTTGAAAAAAGTAGTTTACATTAAATCTATGTTAAGGCATGTGAACTAAATGAGGTTAAATTATATAAACTGCAGTGCTACATTTAGAGAAACATTATTTTGCTGTAAAATAAAATGTCATTTACAATGAATGTGAACATTTCATAGTAACAGAGATACCAAATGAGCCAATCCACACTAGAATACTTTTTTGGACACTCTCAACAGCTCATAATAATTTTTAATATTTAACTACATATCTTAAAATTATAGTATTAAAGCATCAACAAAAGAAATAATAAAATCAAGTCATGTTTGTAGAGAGTTAGTATTTTTACTCACACTATGGTCATTATGTTCAATAATAAATAAACCGGGCGTGATCTCCCCTAAACGTTCTTGAATATTCTTATATGGGGGATGGCAACTCAGGATATAGACATGATTTTAAATCAATTTTTAATAACTTAAAATTTTAAAAATAAAATACAATATTTTAGAAAAAAAATTGCTCACAAAAAGCCATTGTTTTTTTTAAAGCCAAAGTTTGACGTCACACCATCTACCTCCCCTCCACACATCACAAAATTACGGACCCACCCCCCCCCCCCTCCGAGTGTGACATCATTTAAGGACGACCGCTTAGTACTGTAAGACTAAATATACAGATAGTCCTATATACGGCATATTCATAGGCGTCCGATTTAAGAAAATACGCAATTTAAAAAGATGGTAAATAATTTATTAAATCAACTTAATTCAAATTCAATGAAATAGATGAACTTTTACGTTCGTACTTTCATTATTTAATTTATTATTATCGCAAGCGTTAAGAGTGACCTCCCTTACCAAATAGTCTGCTAGCGCCGATGTTTTGAAAAGCAAAGATTGAAGATGTGTTCATTACCGTTTAGTATTTCAATGCTAACCAGTTATTATAAAGAAGATATGAAAGCTTTTGAAAGAGGCGAAAACCATTACAGATCAGGCGATGTTATTTCATTTAATTATGACAAAGAAACCATAACAGGAAAAGTTCGTGCAAGCTTTAAAAAAAAAGTATACAATGTTGCGGTACGTATACTAAATAAAAATTAATAGGTCTATGCAATAATATGTAAAAATCTACATGTAAAAACAGCATTGTATCATTCTTTAAAATTAAACTTGAATTTATAGTGTAATTTTATCCTCCGTTATTTCATTTGCAATGTTTAATATTTTACAGATACATTTCAACGAGTGTAACGAAATAAAAAGTTCTACCTGTGAATGCCCAAGAGGAAAAAGCAGATGCTCACACACAGCAGCACTATATCTGCACTGCAGAGACAATATAAGCAGAACAGATGTGCCCTGCTTATGGTCAAAAAGGAAGCCCTTAGAATTGCATGAAAACAATGAGGAATTGTTTCCTGTAAACAAGAAATATCGTCCCTGTGCTCGAGAAATGAACAACAAAGACACTGAATGGTTTGTAGACCAGCTAATTAAAAATGGTGAAGAATCAACAACATTGTGGGCGTTATCCCCTGAACCACAAGAAGAAAAATTAAATATTCCTATTATTGATGACATTTTAAAAGAAAATGAATTTAAAACATCTTGTAATAAACTTGCCTATTTTAAAAGTAAACTAATTTTGAATCTTCAACAAATAACACAAATTTCACAAATTACCATAGGTCAAGGTAAAAATGCTTTGTGGCATACTATAAGAAAAGGTAGGCTAACAGCAAGCAACTTTGGTTATGTTCTAAATGCAAAAAAAATCACACCATCACTATTAGACAAATTTCTTAATGCTAAACATTTAGATGGTGTTAAGTCAATAATGTGGGGATCAAACAACGAATTGCAGGCCCTGAACATTTTTGAAAATAAAACTGGTCATAATGTAAAACAATGCGGTATTTTTTTACATGAAAATGGACTTTTAGGCGCCACACCTGATGGATTGATAGAGGAAGATTTTATTGTTGAAATAAAATGCCCATATTCTAAGAGAAATGAATGTTTTGTTGAATGTATAAAGGACAAAAAATTTTTCTTAGGCATGATTGAGGGCAATATACACCTAAAAAAAAATCACATTTACTATCACCAAATCCAAGGTGGCTTACATATAACAGGAAGAAAACAATGTTATTTAGTTGTATGGACATTGAAAGACATGTTTATTGAATTAATTAATAAGGATGAGGGTTGGTTTTCAAATTTAATTATTTTAGAAAATTTTTATTTTAATCACATTTTCCCAAAATTAATTGCATAGAAGAATAAATAATATAGATGGCAATATTGTTTATATAAATTGCAAGTAATTTGTTTCTTTTACCACTCTGTGCTTATGCTAATCATTCATTATTTTAAAATTGTACTGTCATCTTTGATGAAAAGCCTTAATTATAATCTTTAACTATTACATATTGCAATTGTAATAGATAATAATGATTATTTACAAATGCCTTTTTTGTCAAAATGTATATAATAAAAGACTATTGTACACAGAAAATAACTCAAAAACAGTGTTTATTCAATACAAATTGTGATTTCATGTTTGACTCACATTCACTGTCATGATTTACTTGAATTACTTGTTTAAATAATTCTTAATGAAAAACCATTAACCTAACATTTTTACTAAAAATCAAGCAATGACAGACATACAATTCATACATTTTTATATACATAAACATAATTAGTTTTATATTACTCAGCAACATTATTTTATGTGATGTACTTTAGCAGTTTTAATTTTCTATTTTCTAACAAATTTATGTTTTAATTATCGGTGACTGTAAATTAACCAGTGCTGCAATCAACTGGAATACAATATGAATATAGGGTCTTACTTGGTGTGGAACACATTTGATAATTTTGTAAAGTTTAATGCGCTGTATCGCTCGTTCTACATGTATCCTACAGGATGCAATATTTTTGGTAATTTTTATTTCATTTTCTGTAAAGGATGAGTTATTTAAAAATGGAGGTATATTAACAGAAACACCTGGGGGAAGAATATCTTGTATTAGAAAGCCTTTGTCAGCAAGAATTAAGTCTCCTGATTTAAAATAATTAACAACACCAGATTTTTGAAAAATTACCTTATCAGAAAAGGAACCTGGATACAAATTAGAAACAAAGGAAATGTGGCCATTGGGGCATATGCCAATCAAAACTTTGAAAGTATTTCTAGATTTATAATGTGAGTAAGTAGCTCTTTGTTTATCTATCCGTGTGGGGGTATCTATCTCTAACTCTGTGCAATCTATTATCATTTTACAATTGGGGTAGTTAGCAAAACAAGACGGTGCAGACAGCTTGATTTTATTTAAACTAGGAGTTGCTTTTAACAAAATATTTTTAAATAGGAGCTCATGAAGCAAATGGATATAAGTCATATAAATATTGTGAATTGTTGTAGTGCTGCAGTTAAAAAGGGTAGCTAAATGGAGATTGGTATAGTTTTGTCTAAGCTTTATTAATGTAATAAAAATCTGATCATCTAAAGAAATATTAGTATCATTTACTTTCCAACCAGAGTAGTAATTAATATCATCTTTGAAACGTTTAACAAGATTACATACAACCATAAACATATTTCTGGATTGCATGCCTGTTTCCATTTTTAAAACATTTTCTGATAACTGATGACAACTATATAAATACATTTTTTTTTTACATAATTTAGATTTTAGCAACATATTTTCACATTTAGCTGACTCTAAAGATTTTTTTAGAAATGAGTTTTCAGCTAAGAGCTGAGCACAATCAATTTTAACTTTACTATCACTATTTGAAGCAGTAACAGACGTTGAATCAAAAATACATGAAGCATTATTTTTATCTTTGAAATTGTTTGATTTATTACATTTTAATGGAGCTGAAACTAGAACACTGGGTACAAATTTATTATTACTTTCTTTCTCAGAGCATTGCAAATTTTGAACATAAGAATTGTGGGAAGTAGGTAAAGATGTTAAAATATCTCTTGATGAAATTGTGGAAGGTTTAGAGATAGAAAACAACATTTCAGAAGATGATGTATGAAATAATGGTAAATTATCTTTGGCAACGGTCACTGAATTAATATTTTCATTAGACAAATCATGTTTAGGTATAGAAGAATAAGGTACATCTTCAGATTTTCTTATCAGCAACGATCCAGGGTGATTTTCTTTGTTACCATCGGTCAAACGACAAGCCAATTCTGTAACATTCATTTGGTTCTTTGTCTGGGCAGCTAAATATATTTAAATTAAGTTCATGCAAAACTTTAGAAACATTTATTGGATAAAACTCTATTATTTCATTAACTTTTTATTACTATCAGCTCCCAATGAATAATATGAATAAGTTACACATCATCAATAAATGAATTTTACAGATATTTCCATTTCACCTAACTTTCTTTAAGTAATAATATATTTAAAATTCATGGCATTCATAGGCTAGATGAGTTGACTTTCATTTACCACTATTATCTGATTATATAAATTAACAACAGTGCATTAGGATTACCCAGCTATCATACATTCTTCTTTTTATTGCCCTCCTTTATAAGTGGGAGATACAAATTATAAAATGTGTGACGGAATTTACAGATGAACCGTCTCTCTCTCTCTCTCCCGATATATAGATCTAGATCTATGTATATCTATATAATCTCTAAAAACACATTGGTACCTCTACCTGTTTGAATGTTAGGCCTCTTTCCTTCAATTGTTTCTGTGTTAATCTTCTCCATGCCTCTTTTCGTTCTCCTAGGTTTTTTTGTCACTATGTATCTTTATATATATATATATATATATATATATATATATATATATATATATATATATATATATATATAGGCCTATATATATATATATATATATAGAGAGAGAGAGAGAGAGAGAGAGAGAGATATGTGGTCCCTGGTAATGCTTGTTTTATGTATAACTCAAGGCTAGTAGTGACTAGATCTAGATTTAGATAGATCTATAATCTAGTAGTACTAGTAGCTAACTATCGATTAACTATATTATAACGTAAATTATTATTATACTACGTAAATTTATGTATAGTAAGACCTACTAACTTTATTTAGTATCTAAGTTAATATATATTATATATAGATCTATATGTCCTAGGCCTATTTAATAAATATATTACAGCCTAGTTAAATATAGGCCTAATATTATAAAATTATAAATATATTATTATTACTATTAGGCTAATAGTAGGCTAATTAATACTTATAAAATATGTTACTTAACTTTGACTAGGCCCTAATACTCTAATACAAACTATTACAAAGTTTTGTGGGGGTGGGGTGTTGATTGGGGCTTAATACCATACGGCTCTTAACGCCCTCCTTTACCCTATTAGTAATTATTATTAATAAAAGTATAAAGTACTAGATATCTAGATCTAGATCATTAGTATAGTATTAAACATAGGCCTTATATTTTATTATATTACTTATAGCCTAATAATTTATTTCGTAGAATCTAGAACAATCTCGTTCGAGTCTAGATTCAAGATCTAGATCTACACTATTCTACACTTACTGTATAATTTACATTACTAGATTCTAGATCTAGATCTTAAAATTACTACAGTTTACTACACTCTAGAATCTAGATCTAGATTCTAGTTCTTAATAAGTTCATAAGTTCTAGCTCTACAACAAGATACACTCAAGTACACTCAATACTCAACTTCACTAGTCTAGATCTAGCCTAATAATAGATCTAGTAGATCTAGTCCTACGTCCAAAAAAAAACATGTGTATTAAAATATATGGCTAGAATAATAGATCTAGATTATAGATCTATATATATAATAATATATATATTTATGTGTGTGTTATTTTAAACTATTTAAACTTAATTTACTTAAAACAACTCATCGTCGAAGTTTGTTTTCATTCCAAAAGCAAAAGTAGATTTCATAACCGAAAAAAAAAAAGATTTAATAAAAATATTCACATTTGGTTTGAAAAAACAACAAAAGCGCTAGCTGGCAACTACCGGAGCGAGAACTTGGTAAGCTACTTTAACAACTTACAAGCCCAATATGTACACAAAATTTATGGTAGCCTATGGAATAGCAGGATGCCATCGTTTATGTCGCCATTACTCGTGAAAACCAATAAAAACCAAATTGTTTTTTTTTTGTTTTTTTTTTGTTATTTAGCTACGGAAAATATTTAAAAACATCAAATACATCCAAACTTAAGTAAAGTAAAAAAAAAAAAGACAGACAGGATTTTAAAACCATATTAATTGTAACTTCAAAATACATTATGTGGTGTCACATTAGCGGGTATATTGATACATTAGTGACACATTGGTGGGTATGTTGATACACTAGTGACACATTGGTGGGTATATTAATACACTAGTGACTCATTGGTGGGTATGTTGATACACTAGTGACACATTGGTGGTACGTTGATACACTAGTGACACATTGGTGGGTATGTTGATACACTAGTGACACATTGGTGGGTATGTTGATACACTAGTGACACATTACTGGCTATATTGATACACTAGTGACACATTGGTGGGTATGTTGATACACTAGTGACACATTACTGGCTATATTGATACACTAGTGACACATTGGTGGGTATGTTGATACACTAGTGACACATTGGTGGGTATGTTGATACACTAGTGACACATTGGTGGGTATGTTGATACACTAGTGACACATTGGTGGGTATGTTGATACACTAGTGACACATTGGTGACTATGTTGATACACTAGTGACACATTGGTGGGTATGTTGATACACTAGTGACACATTGGTGGGTATGTTGATACACTAGTGACACATTGGTGGGTATGTTGATACACTAGTGACACATTGGTGGGTATGTTGATACACTAGTGACACATTGGTGGGTATGTTGATACACTAGTGAAACATTGGTGGGTATGTTGATACACTAGTGACACATTGGTGGGTATGTTGATACACTAGTGACTCATTGATGGGTATGTTGATACACTAGTGACACATTGGTGGGTATGTTGATACACTAGTGACACATTGGTGGGTATGTTGATACACTAGTGACTCATTATGGGTATGTTGATACACTAGTGACACATTGGTGGGTATGTTGATACACTAGTGACTCATTGATGGGTATGTTGATACACTAGTGACACATTGGTGGGTATGTTGATACACTAGTGACACATTGGTGGGTATGTTGATACACTAGTGACACATTGGTGGGTATGTTGATACACTAGTGACACATTGGTGGGTATGTTGATACACTAGTAACACATTGGTGGGTATGTTGATACACTAGTGACACATTGGTGGGTATGTTGATACACTAGTGACACATTGGTGGGTATGTTGATACACTAGTGACACATTGGTGGGTATGTTGATACACTAGTGACACATTGGTGGGTATGTTGATACAATAGTGACACATTGGTGGGTATGTTGATACACTAGTGACACATTACTGGCTATATTGATACACTAGTGAAACATTGGTGGGTATGTTGATACACTAGTGACACATTGGTGGGTATGTTGATACACTAGTGACACATTGGTGGGTATGTTGATACACTAGTGACACATTGGTGGGTATGTTGATACACTAGTGACACATTGGTGGGTATGTTGATACACTAGTGACACATTGGTGGGTATGTTGATACACTAGTGACACATTGGTGGGTATGTTGATACACTAGTGACACATTGGTGGGTATGTTGATACACTAGTGACTCATTAATGGGTATGTTGATACACTAGTGACACATTGGTGGGTATGTTGATACACTAGTGACACATTGGTGGGTATGTTGATACACTAGTGACACATTGGTGGGTATGTTGATACACTAGTGACACATTGGTGGGTATGTTGATACACTAGTGACACATTGGTGGGTATGTTGATACACTCGTGACACATTGGTGGGTATGTTGATACACTAGTGACA